CTATGGCTTTGAGACACACCGACCCGTTGGGTAACGTGAAATCACCTTGCATCGCTTCAGGCCGCAATTTATACTTAGAACATAAAACTCAAACCCATAACGTATTAGGTTTAGTTAACATCGTCCAACCGAGTTTCATTAAAAGAGCTTCATTCATAACCCTCGACTGTTTAATTCTGAGTCCCCCACATTCGCTAGGTTGGCAAATATCTGGCCAAGACACCAAATGGGGTTTTCGTTGTTCCGACGAACTACCCCACAGAAAAGAGCGGCCACACTGGTCAATTCTATTACAAATAGTCAAGGGTAAGGCCACAGTCTGCATTGCATAATACGGGAGCGAACAAAGGACTGACCGGGTCAGTGTTAAATGTCTCGCCGCCGATAGGGACGTTGTCTTCCACCCCGCCAACCTTTGTTCCGCCTTCTCCAAAAGCCCCACGTACGTAGCTGTCGTGACTCGCCTGTGAATCAAAGACATCCCTAAATAATGACCAAGATCATCTACCTGTGTGCACCCCAAACGAGCTGCTATACTCAGGCGCCGACTTTCATCCACAGAAGTAGAGAAAAAAAAATTGTGTTTTGGCCGAACTCACACGTAGCCCCGACAACGAACTGAAAGCCTCCAGTACTCCTTGTAAAATATCGACTTGCCCTACAGATGCTTCCATAAACAATAGCAGGTCATCGGCGAACATAAGAAAAGGAATGTTAATAGCCCCGCGCCCCACAGAGATCGGCTTCCAGCCCGCATTTTCAACAACAAGTGTAATCTGTTGGGCCAGCCGTTCCATACAAAGAACAAATAAGTACGAAGAAATCGGGTCACCCTGTCGAATCCCTCGTGTCGGTGAAAAGAGTTCACTCTCTTCTCCATTCCATAATAAATTCATTGAACTTGAACTCACACAGGCCATTATAGTCTGAACTAACCTTTCCGGGAAGCCTGCGAAAATAAGCGTTTCCTGTATAAAATCCCAGCGTAAAAAATCATACGCTTTTTCCAAATCTACCTTAATGACCATGTGTCCCGTCCCAGTCCACCTCATCCTCATCGAATGAATGAGCTCCTGAGCTACTATAATGTTATCAGTGATGTGTCTCTCGGGCACAAATGAGGCTTGTGCTGGGTGGATGATGTCCGGAAGTACCGTCTTTATTCTATTCACCAAAACCTTGGTAAACAGCTTGTAGGCCACGTTGATAAGGCTAATTGGTCTGAACTGTTTAATCGTGGAAGGAATGGCCACCTTAGGTATAAGAACTAACAAGGATCGATTCAGTTCAGAAGGTATAGGTTCGCCAGCCCAAATACGACGAAAAAGATCGCATACCGATCGCCCCACAGTCTCCCATTTCTTTTGAAAAAATAACGCGTTCAGGCCATCACTTCCCGGAGCTTTATGAGGGCCCATGACTTTCAATGCGGCCTCAATTTCGGATTCAACTATGTTACGCGCCATGTAAGCCGTGAGGACTGGGTCCATCGAGGGGAACAGGTTTTGGGCAACCCGATCGGGAGTAGGTCCTAACTCTGCAGAGAAGATATCCCGAAAATATGACACGGTCATATCCCGCAACGCCACTTGGTCTTCCACCAGGTTCCCATTACCATCCCGGGGAGAAAGTATACGGCCACGGGCTCGACGGGCACGCACTTGTCGATGAAAAAAGGTTGTATTCCTGTCTCCGAACAAAGTCCAGTCGCGATTGGATTTCTGAAGGAGTAGTAACTCCTCTTGCAGCAGTACTTCATCCAGCTCAAGGCGAAGATACTTCTCTAATGCCACCAAACTCTTTTTGAAATAGAAACGAAATGCTTTCTGGATACCCGCTATTATGGCCATCAACCGCTTTTTCCGTTGAAAGATATTACCAAAGGTATTAATGTTCCATTCATTGGCCTTCACAATGCAACGAGCCGCAGCTTCCTCAAGCGTACTATCTGGTCGCCACACCTCCTCGAGAAGATGGGGAAAGTCATCATGAAGCAACCAGGCAGCCGCGAACCGAAATGGTTTTCGCCCTCTCGGGCTATTTTGAGTTTGCCCAAAGGTGAGTTGGATGGGCGAATGGTCCGACTGGACTCGTGGTAGGTATGAAAGTCTCCTCTCCATGAAAGTATCGAGCCACGTCGTGTTAGCAACAAATCTGTCTAGGTTTTCAAAACCCCACCTCGATTCCACATAAAATTGTTGTCCATGGCATTAATCTCGCATAAATGATTGTTGTGGATCCAGTCACGAAACTCGCTGCTTATATTGCATCTACCAAGAGACCCTCTGACTTTTTCAGACCGACGCAACAGGCAATTAAAATCTCCCCCGATGACCCATGGACCGCGAGTCAAAGTCGCCAGATTATCCAGCTCCACCCAGAGCCGATGGCATTTCACCGAACTTGGCGAGGCGTAGACAAAAGTAGCCATACATGACTCATGTCCCGTGGTAATACGAGCATGTACAAACTGTCGACCACACCAGATTATACGAGGAGCTAAACCTTATTTTTTTTCTTTTCTCACTCCCTCATTCCAAAGCAGCCAAATGCCCCAGAAAATCCCAAAGCTTCAATGCAAAAGGAATAATCAAATCGACTTCTCCGAACAAAATCATCTGCACCTGTTCCACTTATGCGCAACTTTAACAACGCAACTACATGCGGCTTATTTTGTTGGACCATAGAACGGAAAGCAAGACGAAACGCCTTCGAGGCTACTCCCTGTACATTCCATACTAACAACTTCATGGTAACAATAAAATATACGTGGAGGTGGAAAACCTCAGATCTGGAGACGATCCTCCGAGGCTAGGCCAACTTCCTCAGTCTCCATACCAGACGGTGCTACGAGCCCGCTTTCCCGCCTGAACTCCTCCTCCGGCCATGGGCGCGGTCAGTCGGAAGGCGTGAATGCATGGTCCTCCAACATCCCCCCAGTGCCTCTCCCGACTCTTCTTCTATGTCCCGATTTACTTCTATAAAATGATCATCGCCGATCTGAACCGCCCGATGTTTGTTGATATCTAGCCCCGATCCCACTGCTACATTTGAAGGCGACGCGCTGGGCATTTGTTGTCCCCGAACCCTATTCCTGTTTTGAGAAGCTTCCACATGATCAATCATTGGAACCTGCCCGTCATTATCAGAACTTTCGGCCACCTCCTTACCCTTCTCTAACAACCTGATATTGATCCCAGTTTTAGCGGACGATTTCCGGCTGTCTTCAAGTTTTCGATTATCCGCCATTTTCTTGCCCTCTCCTGCTCGGCGCCATACCTTTGGTCCCATGCTCGTCATGGTGCTTTTCGAACTATTTACATTACCTACTTCAGTTGCTCCAAACCGGAGCTCTGGGCCATTTTCGTCATGCGTGTCCAGTGAGTCAAATCAGTTGCCTAGACTAGAAGTCCCTCTGAATCCCCTCTTATCACGTCGGCCTATATTGCATCGGGTCCGCTGAGGAACTTGCATCCACGGACCATACACCGAGTCACTACCCAATGACGCCTTTGACGTACTGTATGTTGCATCCTGGTTCGCATTCTTGCTATTAGCTTGGTCTGCCGCGGCCATCGAGTTGGTATGATCCTCTTGTTGGACCTCCTTATCCAGACATGATTTGATGTCATGACCATACTTACAACAATGGAAACATATAAGCGGCATATTTTCGTATTCCACTCGTTGGTATTTCCCTTCTATCGTAAAGTGAACACATAAAGGCTTAGAGAGATCAACCAACACCGCAAGTCGAGCATATTTGCTTCTCGTGAGAGAAGCTGTTTGATAATCGATCTTAACCACTGGTCCAAGAATTTGCCCAATTTGTCGGAACACGCGCTTGTGATAAAGATGAACCGGCATCCCAGGAAGCCGAACCCATGCCACCACCTTGGAAAGTTGTGTTTCATTTTCATCGAAATCTAAATCCCAAGGTTGAACATGTAGATAGCCATTGCCGACCACGTACGGGCCACCAACAAGAGTACGAAGCGCATCCTCATGAGTCGAGAAGTGGATCAGGTAGTAGCCATTCTCCAAATCCATCATGTTACAACCCACCATATGGGGCCACATTTTTGTTAGTCGATTGTACAGAACAACATGTGAAAGAGAAGTATCCATGGGTTTAACAACTACCACATCTTTCCAATCCTTAGCTAGCATGTCCAAAAACCGTGGCTTAATACACACGTTTAGTACCGCCTTCGAGAAATCCACTGAAATATCTTCGTCAACCCCTTCGTTCGCTTCCTCCTCAACGTTTACAACGACATGTGGTTGGTGCTTGCTCACCATTTCCTTAAAACTCATACGCCTAGGAGCTCTTGTCTGTTCTTTCTGAATTAGGGTTTCGGGTATCGCCATCGGTTTCACCACATTAGTGTCCTTATCAGTCGAGATTTCCGGGTCAAGAGGCCGACGCCTTTTAGAGTATCGACCATTAATCAGTGGTGGGATCGTCTCCTTATTCAATGCCGGGAAGTCCTCAATAACTCCCGATGTGCGGACGTCCCCAGTTGTGACATCGGAATGCGCGTTCAGAGTGTTCGGATGAACGGGGGGGTTAACCCCGTCGGCGCCGCCGACAGAATTAGGGTCCGGGTTCATGAGAGCGTTTTTCAATTTTTAAATAAACAAAAGATTTTTTAATTGATCTTGTAATATAATTTTAAATTAATATTATAAGTAACAACGTGCATCGCACGGAATGCGAACTAGTAAATAAAAAATTATTAAAATCTGAAATTAATTTTTTTTTTTTAAAAAAAAATGGTAGCAACAGTATTGACACATGAATATATGGAGAAGTGGCGATATTGAAGGAGAAAATTTCTCCACTCTAGTTATCAAAACCTCTTCAATACTCATTCGTCTGTGACTTACTCTACAAGTTTTAGCTTCCAAAGCGATTCATTCAAAAGCATATAATGTTTATATATACCACAGTACCAAACAAACAAATGAAATAACAACTCATACATGAGAATACCAACATGGAAATAAAACCCAAGGTCCCAAGAACAAATGAATCTGATTCACCTCAAACTGTTTTCTCAATTGACGATCTCCTGATTGCGATTTTCCTTCGCCTCCCCATAAAGACACTCAACCAATTAAAACTAGTTTCAAAGCAGTGGCATCGTGTCATCTTCAATCCAAGATTCAGTATCCAGCGCAATCCCATTCCCAATCCGGCCGCGGGGATCTTCCTGCAGTGTCTGCACTACGTGGCCCGTATTCGGATAGAATACGTCCCCTTCACGGGCCTGGAATCGGCCAAGCCAACGTTAAGGAAACCGAAATTCGTCAAATGCCCACCAGGCGTCAAGATCCTGCACTCATGCAATGGCCTCTTACTCTGTTCAAGCTACCGGACCTCTCATCACAATCGGAAGTACTATGTTCACAATCCCACCACCAATAAGTTTGTACTACTTCCCAAACTAGACTCCGCAGGTATATGTGGGATGAGCTTGGCTTTTGATCCAATCAACTCTCCTCATTACAAAGTTATTTGCGTCCGATCACAATCGAGTATCACGGGCTGGCAATTGGAGGTTTATTCATCTGAAACGGGCTCTTGGAGAAATCACGGGCCGACCCCACAAGTACAGGTAATTTTTGAAAATGGGGTGTATTGGAATGGAGCCATTCACTGGACTAGTAATGGAACTGGAAATGACTCTCTGTATTTCAATGTTGATAATCAGTTGTTTGGGATAATGCCAATTCCCCCTACCGGTTGGGAATGGGGTGTGAACTATTATTATTTCGGAGAGTCTTGTGGACACTTGCACTATATGAATGTGATGGGGAGCTTGCAATTCAAGGTTTACGAGATGAGGAGAGACTATTCTGAGTGGTTTGTTAAGTACGAGGTCGATCTTTCGCCTCTGGTAATGGCTTATCCAAGTATTGAGCAGCGTGGTCTTTGCCCAATAATGTCGCCTGTAGGATTTTCTGTACTTTGTTTAGTTCGAGGGGAGAAGGAGGAAGGTTCATTCTTGGTTGTGCAGATTGCTGGAAAAGCCATCCGGTACAATCTCGTTTGTCAGACTTTCGAGATGCTGCGCGAGATCACGGGTGTTGATTCATCAGGTCATTTGAGGTATTCGGGTGCAGATGCATTTCAATATGTTGAGACCCTTTGTTGTGTTTAGTGGTTTTTACAAAGTTTGGACTGCATCAAGTCCCTCAATTTCAAATGTTATCCTCCAAATATGGTTGTGTGCGCTTTTCCTTTCTATCTGTGTCAGTGTGTGCGCGCAAGAGAGAGTTGTGTTGCTCTCTCACTTGGTACTGTTGAATAATTTGCGTGGAAAAGCTAAAATATGTACAATAAAAATGAAAAGTTCCCATCTTGAAGCGCGCGCATGATTCAGATTTTATATTTTATGTTCAAGACCTCCCCACTTTGTTGTTGGGACATATATTGTAACGTCCCACTTTGATTTTAAAGAAATTTCGAACTTTCAAAAAAATAAATTTAATTTTTTAAACTCATTTCAAAACATCTTTGGCGTTACTCATTTATAATCAACATCAATCGTCATATCAATCATATCAATCGTAAAATCAACTCTCACATTGGGTTTCATCACAAGTCATCAATCACCCAAACCGAGTTTTCACAAATCATCACAGTGTCAAAGGGGCATCTTCCCAGCACTATTTCACATCATCATAAGATCTCAAGTCCATAAAATCTCAAGTCATGAAATCATAAAATCATAAATTAGTTCAATATAGCAGAAGCATAACAAATAAATGAGTTGGTCTTATAGACTGACCACCACTCGCTCCACTCCACCGTGCCCACAACCTGTTCAACCTGCATTCGTGAAGAAACAGGTGGGGGTGAGCACATATAGAATCCGTGGTGCTATACCACTATGCAAATAATTCATAAATTACGTAATACAAGTATGGTCTCAACATGTATACGAATCAATAAATCATCTCATCTCCTATCCCAAAGTCAACTCTCATGTGCACAACTACAGATAGACTACTGCTGATACACGATTCGAACGCCAAGACCTACGCCTTGGTCTTACAACAATGCCTAGTCGGTAGGAGTAATCCACCCCGACGGCCAAGACCTACGCCTTGGTCTTACAAACGGGGATCACCAGCCGAGGGCCCATGCCTTGGGCTTACGGCCATACATTAATAAAGGAGACTACCCATCAGGTACGTTCTATAGCTACTTTGATCATACCATACAGCAGAAATTAAAATAAAATTTACAGCATAGATATTTAAATAAAACTCACCTGGTTACCAAAGTGGTAGATTCACACAAAGCAAGTAATTAGGACGAGGATTAAGCTCGTCGAACCTACATTTATCAAGATGGCCCTATAAATAACTATCCGACACAATAATACATATGCAACAACATTCACTTGGTTCAACTCAGCTCATATAAGTGACATAAGCATGCATTTAAAAAGTAAATTCTATATTCGAAAGCACAACATAAGTTTTTCAAAACTTAACTCGCGCAGCGATTTTAAAATAAACATCACTTGCAGCACACGTGTCATAAAAATGTGATTCCCGTTGCAAATGATTCCTAAGACATTCAACTACAACTCTTATGAATACATCGATAACAGATAAGGTCATTTACTAAGAGATAATTCGACAAATATTCATAACCAAGTTGCTGTCAGAAAACTGAAATTTTATGCATACAGAGCTTCAATAATTATCACATAATTCATACTACAAACCTCCAAATGACATGATTCAAAAACTAACAGACAACAAAGAGGTAAGGCTACATCGTTCGAAGACCACTTTTCAGTTTGAGCACATACAAATATTGAAAACATGTTGGACATTTAATATATAAATGCTGTCGGGTTTACAGAAAACTGCTTGCACAATCATTTTGCAAAAATAATATCGCCCTCAATTTAAATCGGTTTTTTAAAATTCCAAAGTCCACTGAACGATAATAGGATAAATTACAATTCATATGCAGAACATATCTTCGGAAAATGAGTTCTTTATGGTCATAACAGAGGCACAACAGAGACAGTAAAATCGTGATTAATCATGCGAATCTCAAGGAACTTCATCAATGAATCTCTATGTTATAAGAAACTCTGTTACATCATATGAACACCATATATATCATTGATAACACATATAACAAGGGGAGGGTTACACCATTAGCATTCTTGATTATGACGTCAACATTAATCCACCTAGAACTCGACAAAAACATATAATTCCATCAAACCCCATCATGTATATATTCAAATCATATGATAGTCACCAAGGCAACAACATTTCACACATATATATATATAAAATAAATCCAAAGAAGCCACGCATTACCGTACTCCAACGGGGAGACTGGAAAACGGGCTAGGGCTGGACTCGGGACTACTCCCGGGTGCAAGGATGGCTCGACAGTGTTGCTTGGCTCGCGATGGTTGCGTATAATCCATCAACAGGCGCCTCGCTGGTGGAAAATGCGTGATCGGGACCGTCGAGAATCACTTGTTGCTGCTCGCGGCTCGTGGAGTGATCGCCAGTTTGATTCTCGGTTGCTGCGGGTCGCTCGAACGAGGCGAGGGTCGAACGTGGAATGGACGTCTGACTGCTGCACGTGGGGAGATGCTGAAAGCGGACTCGTGGGGGAGAAACGATGGTCGCCGGGCAGCGAGGTGTGGTGGTCGGCCGAGAGAGAGAGAGAGATAGATTTTCTTTTTCTTTTTTTTAATGAGCGAGAGAGATAAGAGAGCAGCGGCAGGCGATGGTGTACGAGACAAATAGATGAGACATGATCCTTTCTCTTCTCTGTTTTCACGCGATAGGAGAGAGATGAGAGTAGAGTTTACGATCGCTCTCTTATCTGCCTTGCACCACATGAGAGAGATGATAAGAGAGAGTTGCGGGTTTTTGGGGATTAATA